AAAACACACAGGAAAGGCTTTGCAATGTATTATTTCCTCTACCAGTATAATCATAACTCCATTGCATTTTAAGTGCATCTATTTCCTTTTTAAAATCACCAGCATTTCAGACTTGCTATATTTATTAAGGTACTGAGATTTGTGTATGAATGTCCCTTAACTAGTTGAATTTTCAGTGATCTTGAAGGTGTACTGACCCTACTGGACTTAATAAAATGAAATGTGAAGATAGAGATAGATTAAGAACTTTAACCAAACAATCTTCACCGAACCACAGAATCCCGGAATGGGTAAGATTGGAAGGGACCACAATCATCTGGTCCCACCTCCCTGCTCAAGCATGGTCATCCCAGAGCACATGGCACTGGACTGCATCCAGATAGTTCTTGAATATCTCCAGTGAGGGAGATTCCACAACCTCTCTGGGCAACCTGTTCCAGTGCTTGATCACCTGCACAATAAAGCAGTGGATATTGTTTCTCTTTCAATGTTGTTTCTGATTGATGAATTAATATGATTCATGATTAATGAACAGGCTTAATTCTATATTGGCCAAAGCTCATAATCTCCAGGGAGCTTAGGGAAGGTTTTCCCCTATTTATTGTAAGGCTGAATTTTTCCATCTGCCTCTCTGTGATAATTTAGAGGCTGTGGCTAGTCTATTGTGTTGCCAGAGGGAAAAAAATATACTCCACTGATGAAAACATGCAGTTGTTTATGTGCTCTGGGGGTAGGAAGCAGTTGCTTCCACTTGCAGAATAAATCCCTCATAAGTCTTTACCTGCTAAGATATTTATTTGCATTTGGTCATATAAGTGGGAAACCTTAGGTAGGTTCAAGGCAGACTTTCAGACCAAGTCTTGCACACTTCATTTCAGAATATTTTATTCTCTGGATTTTTTGCTACATGTTTCTCACAGTTGCAGCAACAGTTGTGTTTGATTGCCTCTTGCCTGTAAGCAGCATTGTAGACATGCAATAGATTTCACATGTGGTCAAGCACTTGCAAACTTTTTGCTTATGTCAAAATATGATCTGTTCTGTTCTGTCATCCTAGTGTCAGTTTGCAGTTAGGATTAATTTGGAGGAACTCACTAAATTCTAAGTCCATAATCAGTTTTGCCAAGCTCATTGCCTGTTCCTAAGTTCCTTGCAATAATCAATTCTCACTCATGTCCTGCAAGCAGAATATATTCCAAGTGTGAGTGGTATTCCCAGGCATTGTGCTGGTTCTCAGCATGGAGTACATCATACTGGGCAATGCCTGTATGTTCACTCAAACAAGTTGTAAAAGACTTTTTCTCAAAACTTGGCTACTATTTTTCAAAAACTAAATTAGAAGTAACTTTTTGATGGCATTGAGAATTAAGAGCTGCAAAGGCACAATTTCAAGCAATGAAAAGGAGGGGAGGGGAATAAATCTTCATCTTGGAATGCTCAGAACAATTTTTTCTCAATTATCAGTATGAAAATTTCATACTAATTGAAAAAATGCTTCCCTCTTGAGGCAAAACTGAATGCTCTTTGCATTAGATTTTGCCACTGCAGGCCGTACTGCCTAGGGAATTTTTTCTGTCTTTTTTTCTTTTGTTTTGTTATATCTATTTCATTTTTCAGTAAAGAAAATTCATAAAACATAATTAAATTCTAATGAACCGTCAGAAATTTGGACTCGGAAGCATGTTAGCAGAGTAGTGGAATTGTGTGTCCTTCCAGGTCATCAATGAAAATTGGATCATTGGATGCCATCAAGACTTTCAAAGCAAGCTTGGTAAAAGCCTGAAAAAACGAGCAGGGCAAGTGACCTTAACTGATAAAGAAAAATAAAGTCTATTTTGGCAGCTCGTGGTTTCAACTGCTTTCAGGTCTGACTAGAAGGAGGCTGCTGTAATGGCTGTCTAGCAGACAAAGGCCACGTTTGAGTGAGAGATCCTATCTCCTTATTGGATTAGCTGATATAGCTAGAAAGGAAACAGATATGCTTTTAGGCGTATGATCCCCCCCTTTGACCTTTTTCTGGAAAAATGGTGATATGCCAATGATTTTTCCAGCAGTATCAGTTGCTCTAACAAAAGATGTTGCCTTTCTCTCAGCTCTGTCTTACTGAGGTGCTTAGTGCATCACGGCCAACAAAAGCACTACTACTTCACTAGTAGGCAGATACTTTTATGTTTAAATAGCAATAATAATAACTCCTGTGAAATAATATGTGCATGGTGAGACCCTGTTGACTATACCTGGTAAGTTGTCCCTTTCTGATGATATATATTGAGGGTAATTCCATGGGGGGAAATTTAGGAAATATTTTTTGTCTGTGTTCTGTTTTCTTTCCTTTATAGGCATAGAAATATTTCACCCATTTACTTTGTTACTCTAGTTCTCTGATTAGAATGGGGAAAATATATGTGTTTAAGGTGGAGGGAACTATATTTGTGCACATGTCAAGTTGTTTGGGTCATTTTCAAATACTTTAAAAATATCTTTTTGGAATGTACCCCCTGAAATGTACTGCTTAACTAGTGATCTGCTGTCCATATTTTTTTTAATTAATTTATCCAAATAGCTGGGACTCAGTCTTTTGTAATTTCCTTCCTGCCATCCACACAGCTCAAGAGGCAGCTTTACTGAGCTAGCCTCTCCAAAACCCACTTCACAGCAGAAAAAGAGGGAACAAAGTGAAATTCAGTTGGGTGAACAATTTCAGTATTCTGTTGGAAATTTAACATCTTATATATTTCTGTAATGGGAAAGCTATTGATTGACTTAAAGAAAAGAAATGAAAGCCAGCATTTTTGAAGAGTAATTACCAGTTTCTTCCTTTAGAAGAAAATGATTTCCAAAAACACCTACTGCACTGGTAAGCTGGGAACAACTTTTTGTTTGGTTGTTTTTTTCCAGGAAAAGAGGCTCAGTAGCATATGCATCCCAGAAGCCTTGGTTGCTCAATGCCACAGTGGAAGAGAATATCACGTTTGAAAGCTCTTTTAACAAACAGAGGTAACAGGTTCCAGCCCTGTTATGTGTTTTACTCCCATTTTCCTTAAATATAGAGGTTGTGTGGGTCAGGCATGAGTCCCCATCTCCCTCTAGGAACAAACATACTGCACCTGCCTGAATATGACAATCTCCCTTTGGCCATGTTTTTCCTGAATGTCTCACTTGAACTTAAGTGTACAAATGTTTTCATTTCCAAGAACCATGTTTGTCTAACATGCAGTATTCCCACACCTAATTGGCTAGTTTAACTCAACTAGGAGGACATTAGGTATTTGGGAGTGGGAATGTTGTTTGTAAAGGATTAATGGGCTGCCTTTTTACTCAGTGTAAATGCCCACCAAACATCCTAAAATATTTAGGAGTTAATTGCTGATATTCCATCCCCCCATCCTTAAAAGAAGTGGTTGACTATGTATTCACATCCTACACACATTTTTTTTCTGTCATCCTTGGCTATTGAAACAAGAAACAAAGGCCCTGACCATGAAAAAAATTAAATGGTAAAGAATAGCAGTATGCCTTGGAAGAAGTTGTGTTTGTGTTTCCAGGGTTTAACTATTTAACATTTTTAATTGGGAAGCTGACCTAAGATCCTTTTTCTTAGCTGAAATATTATTTACTTACCTGTGATTGAAAGAGATCCCATTAGAACAATTAGTGGGTAACAAATATGTTTTCCACCGTGTGATTTTTCCAGCTGGTTAATTTTTGTTCCTCTGCAGGTAGGAAATGTGCTTCTTTAGCAGTATCTGTGTGGATTTTGCATTGCCTTTTTTGTTTCCGCAGGTACAAAGCAGTAATTGATGCTTGTTCCCTCCAGCCTGATATTGACATTCTCCCTCATGGAGACCAAACCCAGATTGGAGAGAGGGTCAGTAAACAGCTACAGGCTTCTATTTTTGTTTCAAATATATAGAGGGGGTTTTATTATTTTGTGGTGTTCTTAAAATCTTATGGGTTATTTGGCAACAAAGGTAATCTTTTAGTTAAGTGTATGTTTGGGTCATTAGTCTGAAAGCTCATTGCTCAGTAAACATGGAAACACTGTCATTTATGTGAGGTGCAATGATTTAAATGTGGTGCTATCAGAATGTTTGACTGTTCTGCAGCTGCTATTGCAGATATCCTGACTTTACAGGGCATTTTTTGGTTTCTTTAGGAGTAACATAAAAATAAGTAATACACATATTTTTTAGAGCCCCTTCATTTACCAAAGGGTAGGTGTTTAATCAGCAGCAAATGAAGCTTTATCACATCAGGGAAGACTAAGGAGTGACAGGAAAGGAAACAGAAGTCACAAATGTGTAAATAATTTACTCTAGCATATACTGGCACTGGCACAAACAAATAAGAGAACCCAACCACCACCCCGCCCCAACACACAAACCACCCACACACAGATAAATTAAGGAAACATTTCCATGCCTAATCTCTGCACTGGCTACCATGTTAATTTTAGATGGAATAGTTCCAAACCAAGCTCATTGTGTAGCCAAACAAATGTTTTGGACAGGGGAAGGAGAAGGTGGGATAGCATCTTTTGGCAGCAGTGCTGGCTTGTGAGAGCTTAAGGTGTTTGTGAAACTACAGGTGGATCACAGGAAATATAAATAACTTAAAGCAGGGTGGTAGCAGGGGACTGAAGGCCAAAAGAAGTACAATAGCAACCAGGTAATGTCCATAATGTCTGTGTCAGCACCTCCCACCTAGCAGTTACTGATTATAGTATATAATGAAGCTGATTTAGCATTACAACATATAGTAAACTGAAAAAAATAAGCCCAGGACACAGCCAGACTCACAAGGCTAACTTTTCAGCAGAAGTGTAGTTTAGGCTGCCTGCAGAATATCTGTGCCACCTATAGCATTGTGTTACCAGAACTGTTAAACATATCATGTCCCTCTGTATGGAGCACAGCCCCTTACGGAATGCTCTGACTTCTCTAATGTGTGTCCTGTGTTCCCAGCTGGATTGCAGGCCCACACTTTTGAAAAATTTCTCTGGGCTTCTTTGCCCAGAGAGTCTGCTATGGGTACTCCAATCAGAATATGAATGTTCAGTTGATGCTTTTTTAACTGTCTGATTGTTTTTCTCCTGCTTATCTCCAGGGTATTAATCTGTCTGGAGGGCAGCGCCAACGTATCAGCGTGGCAAGAGCACTTTACCAGCAGACAAATGTTGTGTTCCTGGTGAGTAGGTGCCCTTATGTTTATGCTCCATGCAGAGGCACGAGATGCAAGCATTTAGAGTACTTCAGGGGTCACACACTGAACACTGTGTTTCACTGAGCCAAGCCAAATGTGCACTGTTTATTTTATATCTGTTGTTAGCTAGCCTGCGGGTAAGAAGCATTTTGTAAACGCTGCAGACAGACAGATAGGTAGGTATTACAAATTGAAATGCTGATGCTTCCCCTCTTGGTATATTGAAAATTCTTTTTGACCCTTGTTTTTATCTTTGGAAATTTAATAGTTTTAACTGTATTCATAAAATTCCTAAGCTGTCTCAGGTCTAAAATTAATGTTGTCTTGTGTCTGGGGTGTTTCCTTTCTGCGACAAACTAAGCTGATTTTCCTCCCTGAACTGCACGTTGTATATCCTGTCCCAGCTTCAACACACATGCTATGGAAAAATGAGTGAGAGCAGGCTGTAACAGCTTCATAGGTGGGAAAACAGATGCATCCTACATACTCACGAGTAGTGAGCTTGATGGCTTTCCAATTTAGGACTTCATTCTCTAGCTCAGTTTTCTAGGAGGTTTGAATCCAGCTGTTATGACAGTGAGACATGAGTCACATGGGATTAGAAAAGCTGTGCACGTTAGAGGTCATCCCTAAAAGTCTGGGAGGTTACTTAGACCTTTCCCTGTAATTAGACTGATCACGATGTGCTTGCTTCGTGTGTAGGGTATTTCCAGGCAGTGATCAGAGTGCAGGAGAGTAGAGAGCTATGGGGCCAGGTGCTGCAAATCAGCAGATCCAGTCAGGCTGTAACTCCGTTTTGTCCCCTTTTGTCCTTTTGTGAAGGACACTCAATAACCTCCTAATAGTAGCAGGTTCTCCTATGGTTTGATAATTTAAAACCACCTACAAATAAACTTTTTTCCAGTTCCTAATATTTGAAGAAAATAATCAGGAATCCTTTATGTTATTTACAAATAGTCAGTTCTTTTAAGACTGATTTTGTGAACAAATGCTCATGAAACTTCTCTCTCACAAGCATGAATGTAATATTTGTTAAACTTCTTGTGATAATTGCAGATGTGAGAAAAGGTCACGTGATAATTCATTGCATATTTTATTCTTAATTACGTTCATTCACTGTTACATTTATTTGTTAGTCCGTATCAGACTAATCCTGTAGCATGAACTGAATCTTTTCAGATGTCTTGTTATCAGTGTATCATTATAAGCATATACATGGTGAGTGCTGCTTTAATGAGCAGCCTCACCTGACTTCACGGTGCAGCCTTGTGTTCTGTGAGCTGGCAGTTCCAGTCCCCAGAGGTGCAGCGTCACACTGGAGGTGGCTGTGCACAGACCCAGGGCTCAGAATGGTGTTTAGGGCTGTACTAGATGGGAATAGTGCAGCAGCAGAGCTGACAACACACGTCCTTGCTCAGTGAGCTCAGTGGACACACAGTTGCACATACATTTTTGAGAGTAAATCGAGCATCACAGTTAGAAGTTACTGTGTTTCAAAAGCACTATTTAGGTGCTTTATGTTATGATGCTCTGATTTATTAAGATTTCAGCAGTCATATTTGTCTTACTGTCGATTTCGGGTATATTTGGGGTTGTAGATGCATGAAAGCAACAATACTAAAGTATCTAATACAGTCACGATAGAAATTGTTGCTAAATTTAAGGGAATAAAAATTTAAGGGGACTTTCTAAAGCACTCACCTCTTTCCTTATACCTCTCTCTAACTGGTGGCAGTGATATCACCCAGAAAGCAGAATTAATTAAAATTCAACCCTACTTTATCAACAAACCCTTGGAGAAAAAAACCCAAAATTTGATTTTCAAGAAAGCCTGGTTTTAGTGTAATATATTAGCATGAAATAATAATACTAAGTAAATCCTGCGACCAGTATCACTATTGGAAGCAGAAATATCAAATCACAAGGTTTGTAATTCCATGTAAATAGGATTAGGTAAACAAGTTCCCCAAAAGATGGTACAGATTAGCTTATGACTAAATGAATTGCCTATAATTCATTGATTCAGTAAGGTAATCTAGGTCATAAATCAAATGTCTGAGCTGAGGCATCAAAATGATCAATATTGCTCCTTTTTGTGATTTTTTTTTTGTGTGATTCATTGTTAATAGATTATTGATTTATGAATTTAAAAGCAAAAAAATCTGCAGGCAATTATATACAAAGGAAATGAAAATGTGTTTGTTGGCCCTGGCCCTGGAGCAGTTATGCAATACCTGCCACAGACCCACACTGGGGCATTGTCTCGAGCCTGAGAGATGCTGTGTGCTGCTGTGATGTGGGCCATGAACACGTCTGGGGGCAGGACCAGGTCCCAGAAAGCCTTTACAAAGTCATGGCATTACCATATGTCTGACAGCTCAAGGTTTGGTGTTATGTAATTTAAGAAAACCATTCCTCGGCACAATTTAGATCTTCTGGGGCTTCTTTTATATGTCTGTATTGATCTAATTAGTTTTACTGGTATTGAAATCTGTCAGTTTCCTTAAATCCCTGAAGCTGTGGCTCTAGAAGGTGACCCCTTATCTTCACGACAGGATGATCCATTTTCTGCCCTGGATATCCACCTGAGTGACCATCTCATGCAAGAAGGGATCCTGAAAATGCTGCGGGAAGACAAGCGGACCATTGTGCTGGTGACACACAAGCTGCAGTACTTGCCCCATGCTGACTGGGTAAGAAAGCTCTTCCCATTTTTTCTGAGGAGACAAGAATGTGGCATGAACATGTCTTGCTACAAATAATGTTTTCATAGTTAATGAGAAGATATATAATAAAGATCTTTTGTAAATTGGCCAATGAGTTAGGGGTACCACAATTTTGAGATTCCCATCTTAGAACACCTAAACAGGTGGGATTTTCATAGAGCTGCTACTTAAAACGCTTATGAAAGCAGGCTGCATTTAAAATAATATTGAGTATCCAACACCCTATTGAAAAATTTTGCTCATTTTTTTAAATCTCAAAACAATAAAATGTTTGAGTAACACATTTGACTTTGCTGGGGTGTTACTAGGAATTTGTGCTGTCACAGAAGAAGGTGCATTTATGGATATTGAGGTACATGGAAATATAAGGAAAATACCAATGTTTCCTTGTGGTTAGTACTAATATACAATGTATCAAGAACATCTTTACTCTTTGTATATTGGTAAGATTTTAAGAAATATGTAATGTTTGATTGTTTTGTTAGGTTTCTTTGTTGTATCCTGTAGTTTACAGGAAAAAAAATGAAGGTTTGTAATTGGAAATGTCAAAGATGAAGAAGGAAGTTTGGTTTTTCAGATTGGTTTTTTTTGTTTGTTTCATTGGTACACACTGGCCTTGCACTTAGTTTTCCTATGGTTATCCAGCTACAGCATCCCAGGTCTCCTTGCCCCTGGTGATTGATGACTGCAGTTATACCTCCTAGCAGGACTTCTCTCTGTTCTGCAGCTTGCACACACTACAGCAGCAGTTTACTTGTTTTAAGAAATAATCATATTTCAGCTGCTGCCTGTGCTTCATATTGGCTTGGTATAAAGTTGCAGAGAGACATTAATCTTGTTCTGGCCATGTTTTTGGTGGGCAGCATTTGTCCTTTATGGTGTCTGCTGTGACCTTGTCCCTCAGTTGTACATCTTTGAGTTCTCAACACAGGTCTGGTTTTCTGGTTAGTGTCTCTCAGGATACAGTAATTTTCTGCCTTCTTCCCCTCCCTATGAAGTCAATTTTAACTTCTTCTTTTTTATTGTTAAATATTTGCATTTTTTAAAAATATACTCAGTTATGGCCTTGTGTCAGTATAATCATTTTAATTTTCTTTGTGTATGTCAGATCCATTTCTAGGTGTTGGTGTTCTGGGAAGTGTATGAAAGTTACTTCATTTTTATTATCTTCTACATGTGTTTCAGTAATTTTATTATATATATTGTTCCAAGCAGCCTGTAGGACAGAAAGGATTTTTATTAACTTTATCATTTAAAGATAAAGATATTATCAAATAGTTCAGGTTTTATTCCTAAGTACAGGTGTCATTAAGCCTTAGCCAATGGAGTGAAGAGAGAATATTTGTTCTATTAAGGAATTTTAAATTAAAATATTGTTTGAAGTATATGTGATGGTCTCCTAAATCTTTGTAGCAAAACCCTCAGAAGAATTCAAGGTCCAATCCAATTATAGGTTTCCTGAATACACTGACCACAAAAAAATCCTTGTTTGCTCCATTTTTACCTTTGCTCTGGTGTAAATTCTTAGCAATAAGCAGAAAAGATTATTTCCCCACACCCTACCCATGGAAATTTCTGAACTTCCAGGGAGAGAGAAAAATAACTACTGCATTAACTATTTTTTAATGATGTCATGTGGGTTTGCAATCTGCACGCCTCATTTTCCAATTCTCCTTGTCAGATCTAAAGTGAAGGTAGTTACACTATGAATATAATGTAATTACACTGATGCAAACCCAGAAACCATTCTCTTCAGACTTTGTCTTGCATATATAATTCCTTTCTAATTGTGTCGACAATTTATGCTTTTAAAGCTTTACGGATTCAAATTCCCTGGCTCTTCCTTATCAGTCCGTGGTATCAAACAGAGGGAGCCAGCATGCTCATGTCTAATTGCCTGAATGAGGTCAAAACATACTGCACACAGTGTGCTCCTAAAAGCTTTTTTCCTTTTAGGAGGTAGGAGAACTCTAAAATCTTATCTTGCTAATGACTTGTATTTAGGAAGAGTAATATGCCCCCCTGTCTGCTGACAGAGATCCCATTCTTCTTTCTTAAAAGCAGCCTTCTTTTCTGAAAACGAGAGTGCAGGAAGTTTCTGGTTTTTTGCAGCACCTTCAGTGAAGGGTAGAGTGAAGAGATAATGTCACTGTCCTTTTAGAAGACAGATTTGTTTGCAGAAATATTATTTATTTAAGAAAAGAGAAAATCCTGTCAAGGCACAGCAACATAACTTTAAAATAAATAGGCATACCTGGCTATTTATCTCACCACTTGTGTTTCTAACTTTTTAGATAATTGCAATGAAAGATGGTTACATCCAGAGAGAAGGAACACTCAAGGACATTCAGAAATCAGAGACTGAGCTTTTTGAACACTGGAAGACGTTAATGAATCGACAAGACCAAGAGCTGGAAAAGGTTTTTGATGGGAAGGGCAATCAATATATACAAGAAAATGTCTTTTTTTTTTTTTTTTTTGCTTAGGTTGAAAGCATTAGCAAGGGTTGACATGCTGTGTGTGGTATCTAACTTAATATGAATGTCCTATTAGTATTAGCATTATTATTTATCTATTAAGATAAATTCCTTCATCTGGACATCTCATACTTCCTTGATTCTGTTCTAATCCATTTTTGATAGAGACCCCTGTCAAAATATTCTTGTGTAAGGAATATAAAATAGGGCCATTTTAGGAAAAGTATTGCTAATACTGGCAATTGTTTTTATATGCCTGAATTTACTAATTGCACTGGGTAGAAGCTTTTCAGATGTGCCTATATCAAGATGTTTTGCCTTTCATCCTATAACACAGGAAGAATGAGATATTAATCTTGGTTCTCATTAAGTCAGGAATAATTGTCAAAGTTAAGATTCCAAAGGAGTTGGGACTGACAACCTGAAATTAATGTTAGATATTTAATTTATGTCCTTCAGTTTTACACAGATGTAGCAAATCCTTCACTTATGGTTGCCTGCTGTGAGATTTTCACTTGTATGTTTTATTCAATGGAAACTATTCAATAGTTTCAATAGCTAGTAATTTTTTTTCTCTGGTTGAAAATACATGAACTTTCTCTTTTTTAGGAAACCACTGTTGAGGAAAACCCTGTTTTGGAAAGAACAAATCTCCGGAGGACTATGTATTCCCGTGAAGCACTGCTGAAAGATGATGAAGAGGATGAAGGTAAAGGGCACCCTTTGAACCCATGGATAGTACATTACTGATTCACAGTTAAATTATATTAGAATGAATTAACATCATTCAAACTGGCAGGAGAACAAATCATTTTCCATGTGGGTCATGATTTGTAAGAGTGATGTTTCCATTGCTTTTACCTCTGGACTACAGTGATTGCAGGCAAACACAAGTCATAGCTTCCTCCAAACTTCTGAGGTTTTTTCTTATGTGTGAATGTGATTTAATAATGAACAAAGAATAATATTAAAGTCACTATTTTCAAGTTGCAAAAACATGGTTCAAGAAATTGATCACCAAGTGCTGAGGTTTTTTGTATCTTCTTAGCATGCATTACACAAACTTTAACAGGTTAATACATGCATGCCTGAGCAGCTACTTTCACCTTAAAGCCACTCTTTATCCTGTGTTGTAAGACCTGGTTTGTAGCTGCCACTTGCCACTTCTGATGAAAAGTGTGCACAAATAAGTCAGTGTCGCTGTGCTTTTTTCTTGCACGTTGCAGAAGAAGTAACAGAAAGTGATGATGAAGACAACTTGTCTTCTGTGCTGCACCAGAGAGCAAAGATGCCCTGGAGAGCCTGTGGGAAGTACCTCAGTGCAGCAGGAATCCTCCTCCTGCCGCTGCTGGTCCTGTCCCAGCTGCTGAAGCACACGGTGATGGTGGCCATCGACTACTGCCTGGCACTCTGGACTGAGGCTGTCATCACTAACAAGCTGGAACCAGAGATGAAAAACTGCTCTCTCTGCACGGTATGCAAGGCCTTGTTCACCTTTCTCTTATGATCTAACTGGTGGTGGCGTTCTCCCACGGTCAACTTCCACTCCAGGAGTTGTATGTGGTGCGCTATGTTTCAAGTAAAAGAGCAGCTCCAGAGTGTTTTGAAGCTCAATACATTTTTGGGTGCACAGTGCAGTAAAACTAACAGTTAAGTTCTGGTAGATTTGTTGTATTTTCATCACGTAGCTGATATACCTAAACCCTGGTCTCTAAAGTAATTTTGATATCATAGGTCTTTTTTATTTTTCCTGTACTGTTGCATTCTCACTGTAAGCAGGGCTTTTTGTAGTATTCTGTGATTTTAATTTTCTGATTAATCTCTTATTTTCATGCAAACACTTCACTCTCCAAAGGATAAAAAATTGTGAGTTAAGATGAGTAAAAATCATGGACAGTTTAATCTAGGGAGGAAAAAAGGATTTACTCCTTATGTTTTTTCAGTCTTGTGCTTGTGTGTTTACAATAAATTTTAAACATAATTTAAAGTGAATAATTGTGTTACTCTTTGCTTCTTAGGATTTCGACCATTCTCCATATTCTAAAGTTTTCAGCATTCTCTGCTGCCTTGGCATCGTATTATGTCTTGTCACATCAATAGCAGTGGAGTGGACTGGTTTGAAAGTCACCAAAAAGCTACACTCTGCTTTACTGAATAAAATTATTTTGGCTCCAATGAGGTATTTCTCTGATTGTTATACAAATTGTATTGTAGTGATTTTGTCTTCTTTACTTCAAGACAGTCTTCTAAGTACAGGTTTTATTCTGAAGTAACTGTGCATCACGTTTTTTTAACATGTCATTGAAAATCACCAGGTATCAAATTCCTGAGTAGTTGTTGAAAATGGTACCCAGGCTGCTTGAGTTCCTGGATACAGAGACAAATGCCTCTCCTGCCTGACTGTGACTTCAGAGATTTACTTCCTTGAATGTTTAATTTCTCTTTGCTGTTTTAATTAGGGAGAAAACACAATTATTGATCAATATGTTGTACAGTAAATTCATAGCCTGCATTATCATCTTAATCACTGGAAATATTTACTGTCAGGCAGCAACTGTGCAAGTCAATGAAAGGTAATGAGTTTAGACAAGTGTCATTACCAGCATCACTAGAGGACACTGGGATGCACAGATAACAGTGAAGGCCTTTGTTGCCTCCAGAAGCTTTCTTTCCTGTGCATGACAGGAAAGTTGCAGCTTGATTCAAACCTGCAGCTCTTACTGGACATTAGGAAAAATAACCATCTTATTTCTATGCTAACTGTATTTGAACCAGAAATCACAGAGAAATAACATGCATGGAAAACTCACTTTATTTTTTTTTTCCTCCAGGATAGAATTAGACTTCAGGTTCAGCATGAGTTATGGAACAGTAAAAAATTACAGAGCAATAATGTAGTTTGCATTTCGCATATCCAAATGCCTTTTAATATATTATTCCAACAATTATTCTTAGTTATGCATTTCTGTTCCCATAAAAATGCAAGGCACTCCAATTTAACTTGGTTTGCATTTTTCATGAATTGAAGGAGACTCAAATCAAAATCTGAAAGGATTTTTCAAGTGTAATCATATGATGTGCATACCTTAGGCAGCAAAGGGAGCTGAGGGTGTGCTTGCAGTTGTAGGTTTCTTGTAGGTTCTAGGTAGTTGGGTTGGTGCTTGTGGTTGTATATTCCAGACTGCTATTCTATAGGAAAGCCATGGTTACTGGGAAGAATATGGAATTTTACTGTGGCTGTCAATCTATTTGCTTGTTTCTGAGATATAGTACCAAGCTTAAGTAAGACAAAAAAATAAACTAAACCAGTTCTAATATCAGTATTGCAATCTTTGCTGTTCCTTGTTGCAATTTAGGTTTTTTGAAACAACACCTCTGGGAAGTATATTGAACAGATTTTCAGCTGACTGCAATACCATTGACCAGGTACTGAATAAATATATTCAAGCTCCCAAGTTATCCTGTCTTTCTCAATCTGAAAGACTGGATTTTCATTTATTATAGACTTAATTAGATAAAGCTCACTGATTAAATATATTTTTGACTGTATCAATTTGCATCATGATTTTCTCATTTCTGAATGAGTTCCTCATCTTAAATGCACATTGAGAAACCATTTATTTTATTAAGATGCCCTGTATGGAAAGGAGAAGCGAAATTAGATCCATAGTGATATCCCCAAATTAAAGAGTATCTACTTTTTTTGAAAGTGGGTAAACATTCATTTCACAATATGAGCAAATGAAATGAGAAAAAGGCAAATGTTATTGCCTAAAATAGAAATTATTGAAATTCACATTATCATTATTTACTCCAGACTGCACTGCCAGTTCATAGGATTGATGCAGCTGCTAAAATCGTCTCTCGTGTCCATCTGTAATTGTCTGACATGAGGATTGTGCTCCACAATACAGACATGTGGAGCAGCCCCACATAAATCCCTTCAGGTGTTCCCAAAACCCAGCAGTACATTTAAGAGCAGACCCATATGCTTAGTGCTTCAAATCCTCAAAAATTTTATTCCTTGTGCAAGTGGGAGAAAGGAAAATGAAATAATGATGGTTTAAACTTGATGTGTTATGGAAGTTTTTGTGCGGTTTTTCTTCTTTATCCAGCACATTCCAGCTACCCTGGAGTGCTTGAGTCGTTCCACTTTGCTGTGTGTATCTGCCCTTGCTGTCATCTCATACGTCACACCCATGTTCCTCATTGCTCTGGTTCCCCTTGCAATCATGTGCTACTTCATCCAGAAGTACTTCCGAGTCGCCTCACGGTAAGAACATAAACCAATATAATTCTGGCAATAGAAACATCTACAGTGAATGAGTAGTGCATTGCAGAATTACAGTGCAGAGAAACTTCATGATTAAATCTGGTCCTGTCAAAGCCATGTTCCTGTCTAAAAGTGGGACAAATCCACTGTAGTGTCATTTTACAAGTGTCTTTGTTGGCAGCTCTTCAAGAGCTCGAGCTCTCCCAAAACTTCTGGGAGGCATGAGCAGAGCCTTTGTGCATGATCTAAGTTTTTTGGAGTTCTCAGGAGACAAAAACCTAATTGGATTCTGTTGTCCCCAAGGGCTGCAATCTGGGCATGTCCAAAAAAATGTAGTGACAAAACTGGGAAACTGATGTCTGCCTGTCCAGGTGGAAGTGGAAATCTGTAAAGCCAGGGAGAGGCTGCAGAATGCAGTATAACCATGGTGGTACAGCTGACCACTAAGAATCCAACATGCACAAGCAACCTCTCCTGTTCTGAGTGCCTTGTAGTTTTTAACAAGATGAAAAATTATAACCATATCTGTGACTTTTCTCCTTCTAAGGTCAAACAGCTTTCCCCTTGTGACACTCAAGAAACATTTGCAGCAATGCAAAAATATGCATATTCCTTCATGTATGCACAGATTGAGAGGGAGTCTGCAACCAATTTACTTCCTGCTGGAAGAAATTGAGACTAAATAGAATTTCACCCTACATGTGCTTTTACTGATATGATGACTAAATATGACATGGAGAAGTGCAACCTAATGTGCTCTCATTTACTCTGTTGAGTTTTTGAGTTATGCTGTTAGCTCAGTGAGAAGTTATGCTGTCATCTAGGGATGCATTTTGCCTTCTGCTTAACTCAAGCTCTTATTTGCAGAATCCCATCAAATTTATATTCAGCATAGAGCCAGAATGGTGTTTAAATCAATAAACAATGGAATACAACAAACAGGAATATAGGAGAAAGGAGGGAAGGCAGTGAAGGGAAAAGGCCCATTCATAACTCCAGCTAGTTCAGTGTTAAAAGAAAAATCCTCCCGGGGACTTCGTTCCCTGCCTGGGGACATGTGGCACTGCTTTGCAATTTATCTAAACTTTATGTTTGTGATTATTGTGATGATATTCCCTTTCACTCCCTGGGCCTGGTTCAAGAGAATAACTGCACAACAAAACTGGCTTTTTACGAAATTCTTTTCATAACCCTCTCCAGGGACCTGCAGCAGCTGGATGACAGCACTCAGCTACCATTGCTCTCCCATTTTTCAGAGACTGTTGAAGGTCTTACCACCATCCGAGCCTTCAGGTATAGTTTTTTAAGAAACATACATAACCTCACTTTTGAATATTTATCTCTGATGCTGTTCTGCAATTGGGCAGTTATAAGTAATTGTTACTGGGATCACCTGGAAAATCCAGAGTCCCCAAAGCATGGGTAAGGGCTGCACTAAAGCATTGAAGAACTTTAAGTATTTTGCATTTGAAGGAGTTACTGGAGAAAAACAAGTTAATGTGTGTCATTTGCCCTGTGGCTACTGTCCAGACACTTGTATGCAGTCTGAAAAAAGACTTGTGATCAAATGTGATTTAAGAAGCTAAATTAGCTTGCAATTACCACAGCATGTGCTGTGGCAGACTATGGGCTTGGACAATTTCCATGACATAACTAATATGCACCAACTTGTTATGCCAGAGCAATCTGTGTATGAGTTGATGTCCTGGTAAGATAAACTGTGCTTGACTTCAGAGGATACAGTAGCACCCCACGTTATTTTTCAGGTTGCTAGCTGAAAATGTGTGTGTTTATACTGATTTTGTAAATACAAAAACTGGAGACAAAGTGTTTCTTTGCCTCCTTTGGTTCATTTTTCCATCCACATAAGCTCAGAGGAGAGCACCCCAGGAATACCTGATAATGTGCCTGGGTCGTGTATCTGTGTTACAAAACTGGAAGTCATGCTGATACTTCAGAGGTACCAATGAAACTGCTGCTGAGCTTACCAGATGCTTTCCCTGCACTAGTGCTATTCTTGTCTTCTCCCAGTTGACTCAAACGCAGTCAACTGTTTTCTCCACCCATCTCATCTAGATAATGTCTGTGTGTTTTTTCAGTTAATTATTACTGTTACCCTTCTGTCTTTGAAACAGTAGTGCTTATTTCTCCTAACCTGTAATTTTAATTTTATAATAAAAGTAATGCACAAAGTTAACTTCTTCTTAAACTGTTTTAAATAGGACATAAATAGCTCAATGAAAGAACAACGAATTTAAGATTGACTGAAGGTAGCTTCCCTGAGAGTGGTAGAAAAGCATAGTATTTTACATTATTAATTACTGTTATTGAATATTTAATCCATTAAGTGCCAACAGTGTCCTCAAGTTTGCAGTTATGTCTATGTTAAATTTTCAGGAAAATCAATTTCTCTTTTAATTGTTGCTTTTCTCTTTTATCCATATATTCTTCTACTTGATCAAGAGGATCTTTAGAGTATTATGGCTGTATATTTCCTGTTGTTGATACAGAAAATAATATTTATTGCCATCTAGCTAATATTTTCAGTCTTTCAGAACATTCCCTCTTGATTCTTCCTGTCACTTTGGAATGAATTCCTCTGTCAAAGAATTGTGTTTGGTGCCTCCTTTTTCTTAAATCTTGCAGTAACTGATGTGTCTCTGACCCAGCCAGCCATGTGCCTTCAGTAAGTTTTGTATTCCATCTGCCTGCCAGCCTCCTGCATCAGCTGGTAACCCAGCTATTTTTAGGACTGTGTAGCTTTTCAGCTGCCTAACATATTAGCAGGAGTGGAGTTTAGACTTGCTAGCGTGAGCATCCCTAAAAATAACACTAATTCAGGAATCTAGTCATTCTGTTACGAGGTGCCAGTTGTTCCCAAAGTGTCCTTACCCTTGGTAACTCTCTGTCCTGGATTTACTCAAAATGCATAAGGAAAGAAATATAAAAAAAGTCTAGAGGGAGATCAGAAGGACAGCTACTGCTGCACCTACAAATGTACCTTCAGCAGATGCCCTGGCCTGATTTAGTTTGCTGTCTGACACTTCAGATCGTGTTGATGCTAAATAAGCAAAAAAATTTAAATGTGAAGGCTTCCGCAAAGACCGGTCTGTTTTCTGAGAGGTCTAGTAATCTGGGGACACTTTCTGAAGAGAAATTCTGGTATCTCTGCAGTGATCCAGCAACAGCAGTAACTTTGTTGGGATCCTCATTCCACGTGCACGTGCATGACTGACTCATGATGTGTAGCAAACATCTTCTGAGTGTATCTGTATCACCTAATTCTTCATGGTATTGACATAGGAAAGTTAAGTGTGACTGAATTGGTTCTAGAAGCAGCACAGCCACTTCTGTATGGTAGGGCACTGAGGGTAATGAGCCCTGAGGAGAGACAAGGCTTTAGCAGCTCTGACACAGTGACACTAATGCCTGCCTTCAGGAACAACCATTCTAGGCTGTGCAAACACACCAACATGCTCAGAGCCAGCCCAGATCCTGGGCTGCATCCAAAGCAGCCTGGCCACGTTGAGAGAGGTGGCTCTGCCTCTCTACTCCATTCTGGTGAGTAGAGGGGCAAAATCACCTGGAGTACTGCATCCTTCCTGGAGTACTGCATCCAGCTCTGGGGTCCCCAGCACAGGATAGACATCTACCTCTTGGAATAAGTCCAGAGAAGGGCCACTCAGTTGATTAGAGGGATAGAGCACCTCTCCTATGAGAGAATTGTGTTTTTTCAGCCTGGAAAAGAGGCAACTTTGGGGTGACCTCATTGCAGCCTTCCAGTACTTGAAGGAGACTACAAGAAAGATGGAGAGAGACCATTACAAGGGCATGGAATGACAGGACAAAGGGGAATCATTTCAATCTGAGAGTAGGTTTAGATTAGATATTAGGAAAACAATTCTTTACTGTGAGGTTGGTGGGGCACTAGAACAGATTGCCTAGAAGTGTTCAAGGCCAGGTTGGAGCTCTGAGGAACTTGATCTAGTGAAAAGTGTCCTTGCCCATGGCAGAGCAGTTGAAATTAGATGATCTTTAAGGTCCCTTCTAACCCAGACATGTCTCTTATGTCTTGGCACATGACATAAGTTGTGAACAGCTAAACTATTTCCACTAAGAGGCACATATTTCTTTTCCTCAAAAGCATAAATGATTTATGTCAAGTTGTAACTTTATTATACTGTACTCAGAAGAAGGATTAAAGTACTCTGCAGTGAACAAATTTGAAAGCTTTTCCAAACCATGTACTTCATACTTAGACATTGTCCTATTTTTTTCATATCACTATAAGGAGACCTGCTTGTTGCAGTTAAAGGATATAAATGGGATAAAGTTTCATAGGGAAACATGAGAAGTTTGTTAAACTGGCTAATGTAGTAAAGGGAAGGAAAAAGCAACCAAACTAAATCTTCAGGCCTTCAAACTTCTGTTACTACCCTGGAAAAGGCTCTTGTGCCAGACTTGTTAACTATAAGCCATAATTGTTGAAACACTTTATCATTAACATCACATGAATTTACACATATAAAAATAAACACGCCCAGATAAATGGATGAGTGGGTGCAGATCCACTTTAAGAAACTGTAAACAGACCTATTTGCCATTAATCCTGCTTTGTGTAGTGTGGCTAATTCCTTGAGGGGAAGGGGAAGGGTTTTTTGCAGCCTGTTACTTTTTGTTGCACCATGGAGTCGGACTTCTGTTTTCCGAAGTGCTCCACTTGTTTTGTGATAAGGACAAACATATTTGTCTAATATGGGAGCCCTATGACTGCAGGTACTTTGAGTTTATACTTACAAATTGTTACAATTCCTAGGTACTGCAGTAATATAAATTTTAAAACTTGAGTTTATATGATTAAGTGAGAAGAGAAACTGCATTCTGCAGCATTAATACTTTTTTTCACGAGTATAATTTCTCTCATAACTATTTTAGTTTTTTTTAGTTTTAGATTTTTGTCTCTCACAATTACCATGTAATAAAATACATTCAGAAAATGTCCAGTGGGATCTTGAAATCCCATAGAGTTTCATCAAGGCAATAACATTTATTTACTCATTAAGATACCGCACAAATAGAGTTTGCCTGTGTCAAATATGAGTCTACAAATTATGTCAGTCTGAACTATGGATATTCTGATTTAGACCCTGTGTCAAGCTGCCCATAAGCATATACCCCAGAAACTGAACTGTATTTTTCATTTTTCCAAGACTCCAAGGCCTGACTCATTTAGTCTTTCTCTTGTCTTTCTCTTGTCTTTCTCTTGTCTTTCTCTTGTC